ATGAGGCTCTAAGGACTCGTTTGTGTAATTTTTTTTAAGGGTGGAAAGCTGACATTTTCTGACAAAATGTCAGCTTTCCACTCTTAAAACCTCTCAAAAACAACAAAACAAACAGCTCCTAATGGGTATCCTTGACAAGGAGGGGGATTCCCTCCTTGATAATGATGTGGCACAATCCCCATCATATGAAATTCTCTCTCCTACTTTATTCTCTCTCCTTCACATGGTGTGGATTGTGTCATATCATTGTTAATGACGAAAATCCCCTACTTATCAAGGATACTCATTAATCTCATATATATATATATATATAGAAAAAAAACTTATGTCAACTTAAGTAGATGGTCCACCTAAGTTTTTATCCACTCACGTTGCCTAGGGATCTTTGCATGATATGAAGGGCCTTTTTTTATATATAAATGAGTGGATAGAAACTTTGATGGACAAAGACTTGATGTCCACTTAAGTTGACATAAGTTTTACTCTCTCTCTCTCTACCATTTGATTGTTTCTTGTAATTGAGAAACTAAAATTTGAGCATTAATTCGATGTCTAAACTAGGTTAAGCGACATCAACAATCGGAATATATAGTGATGTTAACTTACGTAGTTTAGGCATCAACAATCTCATATGATCAGTTTCTCAATCACTTCTTTTACTTTGTGCTACCGCCATATGTTACTGTACTTTGATTTATTGCTTACCACCTTGGACACACTGACAGTGAAAAAATTTCTTTAAACATGATTTTTTAGTTAGAATATCTCATCTGTCAATAACAATATCCATAAAGAAATATGTGAAAGGAAGAGTATGGATTTATGGAGCATATTATGCTTGCTCTCTTGTACAAGACTGTTGAAAGTGTCCTCCGGTGTTGATATAATCTCATGATAGGGTAATGATATAAAAGTCAAAAGGTAAATGCTACCATACTATACTATTTTGGATGTGATATTTTAAATAATTTATGTTGGTACATGAGGGCTAATAGTCAAATACTAGGAAGGATCAGAAAGAATGAATATAATAGAAATTTCTAATTGATAAATTTTAGTCTGAAATAATTTATTAGTTTGATTTTTTTTTACCTATATTTAAGCCGATTGAACCATTTGAGATGTGAGATTAGCCCGGTGAATTTGAAAGAGTGACTAAGCTTTGTTTAACCCGCTAACGGATATTGATAGACATGATGTTTTCCAATTCTTGACTGTTAAGAGCAAGTCAGGTCTATTCATGGATAAAAAAACAAACTGTTCGATAACGTGTGGGTATGGTTTTAACGTTGAGAATAACTGGAAAAGAGGAATTAACTAATTAAATAGAAAGTTAGGACGAATTAATACCTAATAATTTAAATCTGGGAATATTAAAGCAGGTTCAGTAAAGAAGGTCGAAAGTTCTAATTGAGGAACTCGACCTGGTGGAGATGATCGAGGACTACAAAATGTTAAAATCTAGAGGCAAATCAAGATCAAAATATCAATTATATATGTTATACATTGATTGTTCTATTGCAAGCAAATGGGGCCATTAGCATGATTTTGTAAAGGATTTATTACATTCATGTACCCTATAATATTATGTAACTATGTGGGTGACCTTGAGATTTGAGTATCTATAAGGGTAACCCTGAGTTTTACGGCTAGTGTGAAAGTGCTAACATAGCTTAACTTTTCATATGAAAGGTCAAAATGTCCTTTCATACAAAAATAATATTCTCAGCGTTTTTGCTTGATTTAATTCAAGTTGCTTCGATGGAATGTAGGGTACCATACAAAGTTCAGCAATTGAAACAAGCTAAATGAATTATTAAGAAACAAAAGCCTTTTATGAAAGAGTTATTCGAAATCAGTCCCTCAAATTTTTAGTAATTTCATATTAATCCCTCAAATCTTTGAAATTGCTTAGATTTGACTGACTAGTATGCAATTAATTACTGAAGATTTGCAGGACTAGTATCTAAATAACCCTTTTATAAAATGATTTAAGGGGCTAATTTCTTAATAAAATGATTGAGGGACTAATGAGGACTACCTTCGTTGATACTTAATTAGACCTCAAGCTCATGGGTGCAACTACTACAATAAGGTACTAGAGTGTAAAAAGTGTACTTTAGGATTACCGGTTTTGTGTTAGTTGACATGTTAGAAAAAAATGGTGTTAAGAAACTGTTAGATTTTGGGCTATAGTGATACAAGTTAGCAACATCAGAGTTAGTCATGTAGTTGTCCGAAACTCAAGGTCACCTGTGTAATTATATTGACTATAATTAATCCTTTTGTAAAGGAGAAAGGAAAGGATAACAAAGAGAAATTGCAAGTATATTTTATTTTTTTTGAGGAAATAACATTAGTTTAATTGTTGCTGCCGCTATACAGAAAATGTCACGATGGTGCAGAAGCAATACTCTGATCAATTGCAGTTCATGTTCATTGCATGTGTGGAGACTTGTGCGCTTCATATTAGAAGTTTGATGAAGAAGTAATAATCTAGGAATGATACGCTTCCTGAAACACCCGGTGTCTGTCCTACCAGAATTAGGATGTTCATCTAAATATTCAAAAAATAGTGGTATAATGCGAAATCATTAGGTGGTTCCGTCCTCCTACAAGTGAAGAATGTAGGCTAAAAGACCAATTTGGTCCTGGTCCTGTACTAAGGCTCTATTCTCAAATAGCCTCGCACTTTTTTTTTTCAACTTAGTCATCGTACCTTTTTCTAGATGTAAACTTAATTTCTATTTCAAATTTCCGTTAGAAAGTCTATTAAATAAAATTTAAAAGGACAATTCTATCCTAAACTCATCTTTACTTAACCTTAAAAGAACTTTGACTTTATTGAGGTAAATATGTGTTTTTACCAACTAGTATGGTGCACGTGCGTTGCACATAAGCTCATTGTCATGTATAATTTAGTTATTAGTTTTGAGGTTAGAGTTTATAATAGTTTGCCTAAATTGTAAGGTTTTGTAATTACTAACTTTTCTTTATCTAGAAGTAAATGGGATAAATATCAAATTTTCTAAAAAAAAGAATTGGGTAGATAAATTTGTAAACCTATATATTATGGATTTCTAAATAAAGGTTGTGGAAAATAAGGGGGTAAACTAAACTCTCTTAAATCTAAACCACTATTGCAATCTCTTAATTTAAGAGTTTGATCTTCAAGGTAAATTTTTTTGAAATTATAAAATTTTAGTCTTAAAATAAAAATTATGGAGAACATGAATAAATGGCAATTTTTTATTCTAAATATTCTTTATTTGTTGGAATAGATTTTTTTTATAAATAGGGTGTAATTGATAATTTTTCTCAATAATTATCTTTTTATTTTATTTTCTACACACCAAAATTACTTTTTTCTTACAAATGGGAACCTAAATTTTTCTTGAAACTAAAGCTCCTAAAAAATTATTTCTAAAAGATCTGAACTTCAAAGTAAATTTGTACTGGATTTTGAAGATGTAAATTATTTAGGATTAAAACTAATATTTCTTGTTTAAAAGTGGCTTAATATAAGTAGTGATATTTCATCATGGTGCAGATTAAGCTAGATCTCTCAAGGAAAGTAATCCTATGTCATGTTTATTGAGAAAAACCGTACCAATCTATTGAAAACTTAAAAAAATATAAAAGCCATATGTTCTTAGACAACTTGCAGAATACCACCTCATTTATCTATTTAGTGCAATTATCATTTCCAAACTAATTTATGAGTACTCATAACCTTTAGTTCAATTTCTAATGATACAGCTTCTCTTGTTAAACATGATAAAACTGACTTTCCATTTAAATAAGTGGTATTGTTAATTACCTTCACTTTTGCCCCCTAATCTAGGGACTATTAAAATATCAACAGAATGTGGGTGAAATTACATTAACCCCCATTTATAATGATAAAAAGAAATTCGAGCATAACATCTCAGTCTTCTTCCTCATTCGGTTTCTTTGTTTGTTGATTGAATCTTATCACCATCTGTAATACTTTCTCCAGTGAATCTTCATGAAGTTGACCTTAGACCACCCAACCCTAAATTTTGCTCCACAAATTAAGCATTCACATCGTTCTATAAATCTTAATTACATATTAACCATATAAATCTTATTTACAAATTAAACCAAGACCAAGTACACTTTTTTTTACATTTTTTCTTGCAAAATGAAGATGGCCAACGATCTTTCTCTTATCTCCACCATGTGTCTACTTGGTTTCTAGTTTGTAGATGAACCAATCAATAAATCAAAATTTATGATAGAACAATAATGTGATTTATAATTGTAAGCAAAATACTAAAGAGATCATTGTAATTGCCATAAAATGAAAAAATGAAAAAATGAAAAAAAATTATCACCTTAAATTATCTGATGAAGAAAGACGAACACTTAAAGTTTATGTGTGAAGATAAGAAGAAGAGGAGGAGGATTATATAGGAGGTGAAATTAAACTGATGGGAGTGAGGGATTTTATGATTAATTAATTAGAGGCACGAAAATTTCTTATCACTGTTAACGCTCTTATTGAGTAGGAATTACGACCGATCCGTGTTCATCTCACTATGCGTTTTTAATAAATAATAAATGTGTTAATATTATTGCATGCTAGCCAGAAATCAACTATCATAACGTGCTAGAAAAATTAATACATAATTTAATGAATTGAATATTTATTTAAAGGAGTCATAAAATTGCATATTTAATAGGGTAGACAGAGAATTTAATAAATGTGTTAATATTCTTGCATGCTAGCCAGAAATCAACTATCGTGCTAGAAAAATTAATACATAATTTAATGAATTGAATATTTATTTAAAGGAGTCATAAAATTGCATATTTAATAGGGTAGACAGAGAATTTAAATGTATAATTGTATGTGTGTTCATGTATGTATGGATGAATGTGTAGTAGGGGTTAATTATCACATTATATTGAGTATATTTATGTGATCATGTATGTATATGTGCAT